GTGGGCGGGGGGCAGACACAGTCTCTATGGGGTACTGGGAGCGTTGGGTGGGTAGCAGCTGCAAGGAGACAGCAGAGAGGTGTGTAAGACTGTGACCCTGCATCCTGGACTCAACTCTGGGTTGTCATAATTTAGGTTGTAAAACAAACTCGTCCAGATTTCTAGATAAGAGAGCCGCACCACCCAAAGTGGGATGGATGCCGTCTCTGCTAATCAGACCAGGTTTTCCCCAAAATGTTTTCCAGCTATCTATGAAGCCCATGTTATTTGTTAGAACAGACTGCAATTTTGCTTTTACAAGCTAGAGGTTTATAAACTACATTTTCTTGTACAATTTCCACATTCAACTGCAAAAGACGTTGGTTTTCTAGGAGAATGAGCTTGTTGGCTTCCTTCACTGATGTTTTCTCCATATCAGGAGACATTAAACTGAAACCTCGCCCAAAGGCTGCCTTACATTTTGGTTGTTATAAACATGAATTGAGTGAGTAACAGGATGCCAAGTTTTCAAAATGAAAATACATTAAACATTAAAGATATTTCTCAAACCACTCTTGCAGCATAGCTCAGTTCTTCTGATGTCCACTCCTATGCAAAGGATGTCACTGAGTGTTATTTAAACAATCTGCTCATCAGGTACAGTTTCAGGAATGTTTTGTGTGTAACAAGGACTCACCAACACTTCCTCACTTGTTGTCACACCCTCCTTGTCACACATATCACAGGGTTCGGTGCTGCTGTTACATCAGAGCAAAAATGTCATAACTCATATCGACTGCTCATATTGCATCATGTCTCCATTCTGTGATGATGAACCTCAAAAACCAAACACCTTCATACCCTCTCTGAAGAATCTGAGACAGAGAACAGGCAAACAGAGAACAGAAATGATATCACTATTGATAAAATAAAGATTTCCAAACTTTACAGCAGGTTACACTTGTGCGGTGTCAATGAGGACCTGCTCAGACAGTTGCAAAGCAAAACTAGACCTCAATATATTTGGAAACCCCATCACCAGCCTGATTAATGTGGATGTTGCAGTGTGGAGCCATTTGTAATTTTTAAGCATTTGTCTGATCACTCAAATTCTAACTAATGGTGTTTACACATGTGATTAACTTAGGCTTGAGAAGATCAAGACAAAGCCAAAGCTCCTACTGGCAGTGAAGGGGAGATGCTTGTGAAGAGACCATTTGTTTCTGGAAAGCTTGAGTCAGAATCATATAATATGAAGAACCTCCTCATTGTCTTACTATATTAAGCAAGGGTGTAGGTTTGGTATGACCAAACACATTGACTTACAAAGGCTGAGCATGCTGAGAATAACTTTGATATAACTCCAAAATTCATACTACAATTCCTAATCGGAGCCTTACCTGAAACATTGAAGATGCGTCTGTTCCCTCATCAGCCTGCTCTGCTTCTCTCATCTGATTCTGTTTCCTACATAAAAAAAGAAACATTAATTGTGACATTTTCATGGGTTTTCCAGACTGAAGTTCTACTTATATTTTCATATAGGTCTATCCACACATGTTTTGTTTATTCCTGCCAGCAGGCATTTTAAATAAATGCATGTCACATAAACAATACCACATACACACTTCATGATTTACCAGATTAAAAAACATTAAAAGACAAGTGTCAGAGATCAAATTTATGAGCCCTAGTTTCAGATGTCATGCCTCCTTTAAACAGGTTATTAATTATTACTTACAGTAAATAACTAAAAATAACCAGAGGTTACACTGGTTTGGTTGCACAGGTACACTGGGAAATTAAACTGATGCAAGACTGACCGTTGCAGCAGCATTAACAAGCTGCCATAACAGTGCCAGCACTACCATGCAGACTACCTCTTCTCCTGAGCATAGCAAGTTATTTCTTTATTTATTTTATTTAATGTATTCTGTGACACGGCAGCGTCTTATTTTGCCACAAAGTGAGTCATCTTCCGACACAGAACATCTTTGTCTCAGCAGTTCGTGCAACGTGGTCTAGACGCGTAATTAAAACGTCATTACGCACGGGGCCGAATACCGCTAGTGTAAAATGGATTTGAGACGGAAAGAAACTTGACTGTGTGAACACAGGCTCAGTTTAACTCCTTAACTGCGACTGCTTTGAGTTCAGGTCAGTTATTCTACTCAATAATACCAACGTTTTTCCTATAATGAGCAGACTCTTAAATGACTTTACTTTAGTTGGCCGAGGTTTCAACTGGTGTCCACTGTAACTAGCCACTTGTTTATAATGGTCCCCATTCATAACCCCGCAGACGCAGCGCTGGCAGTTCTCAGTCCGACTCCCTTCAAAGTATTTATGAAGGAATTTTCTCGAGTAAACCGTGATTTCAGCGGGTTTTTGATCGGAAATAGAAGGTTTACCTAATGCAGATACTGTCATTTACTATCATTTAGTAACGTCGAAGTTTTTGACAGCTAATAATTGACCAAGATACACAAATGTTCTCTTGTCAGCATTTAAATAGGCTGTATGATGAACCAGTCATTTGTGGTTAGTAACCGAGTACATTTACTCACGCACTGTACTTACAGTTTTGAGATATATACCCGTGAGTTAGACTTCACTACATTTAAGAGGCAAACGATGTACTTTTTACTTCCCTACGTGTGTTTGATAACTTTTTTTTACGTTTCACAAGCAGATTATTAAAACAAAACAATATAGGACCAGGTGTGAAATTGACAAGCTAATGTGAGATGTGTCATTCTGCAGGAGTTGACCTTCTTATGCTAATACTACTTTATTCATTCAAACTTTATTCTGGACACTCAAGTAAAAACGGTCCATATTAATCTCATCCAAACAAGGCAGCGCTTTTACTGTAGTTCTGCATTTGCTCTCCTGTAAATGCAACTGGTCTATGAATGGGTGAAACTGGCGACGTCTACTGAATCAGTCCACCCTTAATTATTTGTTTAATGACTTAAGGTGGTGTGTTGCTTGACTCATGAGCCTACAACATATGCGAAGGGGCAGTTTTATAGCCTTATGTAGATGTGTGTATTGTAACAATGCTTAGTAGGGTCACGTCACGTATTGTTTACTAAATGTCATGTTCACTTTGTTACATTTCTTCGTTCTGTATTATGTCTGCATGCGACACATTCCTGAATTATTCCATTTACAGTGCCTTGCGAAAGTATTCGGCCCCCTTGAACTTTGCGACCTTTTGCCACATTTCAGGCTTCAAACATAAAGATATAAAACTAATTTTTTGTGAAGAATCAACAACAAGTGGGACACAATCATGAAGTGGAACGAAATTTATTGGATATTTCAAACTTTTTTAACAAATAAAAAACTGAAAAATTGGGCGTGCAAAATTATTCAGCCCCCTTAAGTTAATACTTTGTAGCGCCACCTTTTGCTGCGATTACAGCTGTAAGTCACTTGGGGTATGTCTCTATCAGTTTTGCACATCAAGAGACTGAAATTTTTGCCCATTCCGCCTTGCAAAACAGCTCGAGCTCAGTGAGGTTGGATAGAGAGCGTTTGTGAACAGCAGTTTTCAGTTCTTCCCACAGATTCTCGATTGGATTCAGGTCTGGACTTTGACTTGGCCATTCTAACACCTGGATATGTGTATTTGTGAACCATTCCATTGTAGATTTTGCTTTATGTCTTGGATCATTGTCTTGTTGGAAGACAAATCTCCGTCCCAGTATCAGGTCTTTTGCAGACTCCATCAGGTTTCCTTCCAGAATAGTCCTGTATTTGGCTCCATCCATCTTCCCATCAAGTTTAACCATCTTCCCTGTCCCTGCTGAAGAAAAGCAGGCCCAAACCAGGATGCTGCCACCACCATGTTTGACAGTGGGGATGGTGTGTTCAGGGTGATGAGCTGTGTTGCTTTTACGCCAAACATAACGTTTTGCATTGTTGCCAAAAAGTTCAATTTTGGTTTCATCTGACCAGAGCACCTTCTTCCACATGTTTGGTGTGTCTCCCAGGTGGCTTGTGGCAAACTTTAAACGACACTTTTTATGGATATCTTTAAGAAATGGCTTTCTTCTTGCCACTCTTCCATAAAGGCCAGATTTGTGCAGTATACGACTGATTGTTGTCCTATGGACAGAGTCTCCCACCTCAGCTGTAGATCTCTGCAGTTCATCCAGAGTGATCATGGGCCTCTTGGCTGCATCTCTGATCAGTCTTCTCCTTGTATGAGCTGAAAGTTTAGAGGGACGGCCAGGTCTTGGTAGATTTGCAGTGGTCTGATACTCCTTCCATTTCAATATTATCGCTTGCACAGTGCTCCTTGGGATGTTTAAAGCTTGGGAAATCTTTTTGTATCCAAATCCGGCTTTAAACTTCTCCACAACAGTATCTCGGACCTGCCTGGTGTGTTCCTTGTTCTTCATGATGCTCTCTGCGCTTTAAACGGACCTCTGAGACTATCACAGTGCAGGTGCATTTATACGGAGACTTGATTACACACAGGTGGATTCTATTTATCATCATTAGTCATTTAGGTCAACATTGGATCATTCAGAGATCCTCACTGAACTTCTGGAGAGAGTTTGCTGCACTGAAAGTAAAGGGGCTGAATAATTTTGCACGCCCAATTATTCAGTTTTTTATTTGTTAAAAAAGTTTGAAATATCCAATAAATTTCATTCCACTTCATGATTGTGTCCCACTTGTTGTTGATTCTTCACAAAAAATTACAGTTTTATATCTTTATGTTTGAAGCCTGAAATGTGGCAAAAGGTCGCAAAGTTCAAGGGGGCCGAATACTTTCGCAAGGCACTGTAAATAACAAATGTACACATATAGAAAGACAAACAACATTATATTTAAATCATAGAATATAGGCTTTCTCACCAGTAACTCCACAGTAGTACTGTTATCTGGTGTAGTCAAGGCCAAGATAGTTCAACAAGCCAGTAAATTTGGCTTGATCATCATAAACATCATAGGTACATTAGCATCTACAAACATTTTACTGGTGCTACAATACCCCAGAATCCTCAGGAGCATCCTCAAACCACATTATAAGCCACCATAAACCTCTGCATGCTGCCCCTCCTGTAGCATCACCACAGGTGAGCAGCATACTGCAGAGTGCTTTACTGTAATCCTTTAATTTAGATAGTGCTTTAAATACCTCAGATAAGTCTGTAGAGGAGTAAGTGTTAATAAAAGGTAAAAGGAAACTATGTGTTAACTCTCCATTAACTAAACCCCGCATACATTCACAGTAGATGTCCCACTGAGCATTTTGTGCAAATATGCAAGGTCAAAGACGTGTGGCCTAAAGTGGGATCAGTTGTTAAAGGGTAATAGTTTAGTCTCAGTCTCTGTTATATAAAGAATTGAATCTCCAGCATAAGTTATTTTCAAGCTCACATCATGTAATTAGTGTGTAATTAGTAGTAAACTGTGCCTCTATAAAAAGCTAACATTTGAACCAAACAAAGCCCAGTTTCAACCTTTCGCATTTAGATTTTTGTGGGGGGTATTGTCATGCTCTTCAGGTTCCTTCTGACTTTGTCATTAGCTTGGTAGCCATCGGTTCTGCTAATTACCAGCAACGACTTATTTTTCCTAAGAGTCAAGCAAGCTGAATTGTAGAAATAAGGGAAGTGTCTTTTCTGTGCTGAGGTGACATGAGAGAGGAAATATGACTCAGAAAAACACCATGTACACAGTCAGGCCGACATACAGTATGAACTGTATAGCTTGCTGTTTGAGAGTTGGTACAACTACTTTAGCAAACTAAACTTTTCCACAACATCACAGGTAAGGGTTCGAATATGACACATGGCAACAACTGCACAACAGCAGAAGATGCGGCAGAGAGCAACCAGCAGCAGCCTCTCATTCTGGAAAGAGAGCACAAAGATGTGGGTGGGGAAAAACTGGCGGACCACCGTGTTACATCAGCTGAAGAAACACTGCTTGTGCACCCCAAAAATTGCAAAATCCAAGATACTGGGTTTTTTTCCAATTCTGAAATGGCTTCCACACTACCAGCTCAAGGATTGGCTTCTGGGCGATATCGTATCAGGACTGATTGTTGGAATCCTGTTGGTCCCCCAGTCCATAGCCTACTCCTTACTGGCCAGTCAGGACCCCATATATGGCCTCTATACTTCTTTCTTCTCCTCCATTATCTATGCCCTCTTAGGCACTTCCAGACATATCTCAGTGGGGATTTTTGGGGTGCTCTGCCTGCTTGTGGGCCAAGTTGTGGACAGGGAGTTAGCTTTGGCAGGATACCTCATAGAAGGCAGCAGCATCAGACATAATGACAGCACTGTCCCTCTGGCTGGCCCGGGGAATAGCAGCGTTGGGATGGAATGTGACAGAGGCTGCTATGCAATCACAGTGGGAGCTACGCTTACCTTCACTGCTGGGGTTTACCAGGTAAGTGAGCAGGGGCAATAATAAGCACTAGACAGATACAAATGATCACATGCTAGCATATACAGATTCTTCTATTTGCAAACCAATCAAAACTGTGACACAGCCTGGTTACACCTCACAACTTTGGTCAATTTAAAAGAAATTGTGGCACCTGGCATCTATGAACAACAACTGAAATTTTTTAAAACAAGGGTTCTGTGGGTATCTAGGCTTTCTGCAAACATTTCTTTAGATGCCAGTGTCCTGTCTATAGTTTGGTACCTGCTCACATACACCTGTTTCTTTTTCTCTTAGGTGCTAATGGGCCTTTTCCATGTAGGCTTTGTCTCCATCTACCTCTCTGACTCCCTTCTCAGTGGCTTCGCTACAGGAGCCTCCCTGACCATTCTTACTTCCCAGTTCAAGTTTCTTTTGGGCCTAAAGATCCCCAGGCCCCAAGGCTGGTTCACTCTATTCAAGACGTGGTACAGCCTGTTCACCAACCTGGGAAACGCCAACGTTTGTGACCTGGTGACCAGTTTGGTGTGTTTGCTGATACTGATACCTACCAAGGAGCTCAATGATCGCTTCAAAGCAAAGTTAAAGGTAACGAAGCCAAAGTGTAGATTACTTTATTTCAGATGCATTCTAAATCTAAATACCGTGTAAGCTTTGCCTGTTTTTACTTTGAAAACATTTAACAGATGCTGCTTTCTAAAACTACATTGAGTCAGTAACATTACAATAAAGCTGAGTCCTCAATCACCAAACGGTTGCAAAAGTCAGGACCCTGTCCCATTACATGCATGTTTTTTGGCCACAGTAGTACTGTAGGATGGTGATGTCAGTTGCTCAGTTCTATCGGTCCAAAACTTTGGCCCAGAGTGAAATAAAGTGTCAACTATTAAGTGGATTGTCCTGCCGCCACTGTATTTTGGGGGCTCACTATTGAGGCAGGCACTGAAACGTTTCGATTCCCTGTATATCTGTCAAATGTGTGGAAATTATAATATACCTGTGCCTGAAAAGTGCTGCTAAAACTGAAGTCCATACAAATTAAAAATTCAAATTAAAATTTTATTTGAATGTTGAGGTAAGCCTGACAAAGTTCAGCTTACAAAAGTAAAATAACAGTACGTTCATTCATATGGAATCAAAAGGCTGGGCCTTCGAGACCTGGCTTTCCAGCCCTGTCGAGGAACACTCAACTTTATGCAAATATTCTGATATGTGCGTCACCCAGGCGAGAGCCAATCATAATCATCCTGATTCAAGCAGCAACTGAAACGCATAGTTGTTCCTACTCCCACTCCACCTTGAAAACATTTTAAACCAAATGATGAGAAAAAAAAACAAACGTATAGTTGCATTATTTCTCTACGATGTCTAACACGTTACTGGGACATAAAAAAGAAGAACAAGTGTGGAGACAAATTGTTGACATGCGTAGTACGGTAGATATGCCAGAAATCAACTGTCCAATTGGAGCAAAGGGTGTAAATCACATATGTGCTCAGCACAACACAGCCCCAGAACTACAGATTCACCGAAGGCCAGGTACCGCCAGCTACTTTGAATCTGTATGTGTGAATGTACCATAAGTGTGACAGTGTGGAGCTCGGCCTGACTGGATGAGTTTGAGATGTCCTTATAATGCCACCAGGAACACACAGGAACCCTTGACCCTTGGTCAAAGGTAACTTCTTTTTACTCCACTACTGGTGAGGATGTTAGATTAACCCTGGCTCTTCATTTCTAAACTTTCCAGTAGTTCTATATCATGCACAATGAGATTTAATGCTTATAAGTCTACTAGTGTGAATACAGTTTCAGTCTGGTTTACACTTTGGGTTTTTTGTTTTTTTGCCCTTACCCAGGCTCCAATTCCCTTTGAGCTCTTTGTGGTGATAATTGCAACACTGGCCTCTCACTTTGGCCACTTCAACACCGAGTACGGCTCCAGTGTGGCAGGCGACATCCCCACAGGGTTTCTCCCTCCCCAGTTGCCCAATTGGTCTCTGATCCCCAACGTGGCTGTTGATGCCTTCTCCATTGCCATCGTGGCATTTGCCATCACTGTGTCACTGTCCGAAATGTTTGCCAAGAAACATGGCTACACGGTGGATGCAAACCAAGAGATGTATGCTATCGGCTTCTGCAACATCCTGCCATCGTTCTTCCACTGCTTCACCACCAGCGCTGCTCTGACTAAGACTCTGGTCAAGGAGTCAACAGGATGCCAGACTCAAATGTCAGGGCTGGTCAGTGCCTTCATCCTGCTACTGGTGCTTCTGGTTATTGCACCGCTTCCCTTCAGAAGTAAGCATGCAAGAATCTAAATTTTTTTATTGATTTAAGGATGTTCCTCAGTTACTCCACTTGAAAATCAGTCTCCTAATTAGTGAGAAGTTAGTTAATTCTAAAATCTGGAATAAACTTCCTGCTCGTCAGTTTCTTGATGGTGTTTTCACATAGTCACTTGTAAATGTTAAAGTTGAAACTACATCAAAACAATAGCCCACCACTTATGTATAGCAGAGGAAGTAACTGTACAGAAAGAACAGATGCTGTAAGCCATGTGTGCAGGAGGTTGTGCCCAGGGCGACATTTTTCAAATTCAGTAAAATATTTGACATAAAAATAAAAAAAAAAGACATGAATCTTTCAAGCATAGTATCTACATTCAGTAAAATTTTAAAGAAAACTTAATGTGGTAACATTAAAATGGTAAAAGCAATATTTGAAAAAAATATGTAAACAGTGCTCAATACACATCACAATCTAGATCCACACTAAATACAAACCAAAGATCAAAACTGCAAGTGCAACAGGCAGTCGAGAGTTGACAGACTGAAATATACAGTGGCTTGGCCAAACTCCAGCATGGCAACCAGATTTTATTTAAAGTAAAACCTGACTCACTTTAAAAAAAGTGGGTCACCTGACATCAGACAGACAAATTTTTTGTTCAGGGTTAATGCAGACTGCTGGTTCTTGCTGTGCTAGTTTAACCCTCCTTTTATGTTGCATTGTACAAAAAAAATCTAAAAGTATTTTATAAACTTCTTCTGCTTGGCTTACTAGGTGTAATCAACATATAAATGAAAATGGTTCACTTCACATTATTGCACCCTCCCCCTGCATTTGGGTCAATTAGACCCTGAACAGAAGAGGTGGCTCATGTTAATTTATCAAAATCACTTCAGAAAAAGAAAAGAATTCAAAATGTAAAAGAAAATCAGTCATGTAAAAATAATGTATTTTATATGTAGGTCTTTCCAATGTACATTAAAAAATGCTGTAACATGCATTTTTTATGAAAAACAAGTGCATTATCCTCATTGAACCATAATCTGTGAGAGGCAAAGAACACCACTACACTAAATAGTGATTGAAATGGTTAGTAATGGTAAAATTAACCCAGGAACATCACTGCTGTTCCTGAGAAATGAACATAACAGGTGGGTTAAATACCTTTGGGCAACATTTCAGATATAGATTTTTGAAAAAGGTTCTAATGATTTGAGAGTAGATGTGACACCAATAAAATCAAATTACCATGTCCTGCTATAGAATTAAATTGTCAAGTATAAAAACACAATAAGGCTAAAAACTCAAGGTACTTCCACTGTGGTCCTCTATAATGTGGAGCAAGGAGCAGAAAGATGAATCAATACAAAATGAGTAAATTGCTGCCTGGAACAATAAATGGGACTTGTCACACATTCGGAGATACTTAAAGTTATGTATGAACATTGATCACTGTCTTTCGATTGAGACTGAAGCTGGTGATTGGTAATGATTTGCTTCTGCGCTGCTCTACACACACTGACCGGCCACTTTATTAGGTACACCTGTGCAATTTTATGCACTTCAGTGCAACACTGCCAGTCAATAATACACAAATAAATGTGCCAAAGAATGGGAGAGCATTTATATGGAAGCTCAGTATGTACAAGTTAGGTGATGGTTACCCTTTATTTGGCCCCAAAGAGGGGGTGTCAGCCCATGCCGTCATAAATCAGGTCTGATCGCCACGATCAGCAACACCATTTTCCAGACATCCCAGAACCCTGTCCTCATCCAAGCAAAGAGCAGATATGTGGCTTGACACACAGCATCTACACTGTATTTGTTCAGTGGCCTCTGAGAGCCGGGTCCGATCAGTTGTCCAACCACCGACACTGTTCTACCAAGACTGATAATGTGTAAGTAATGGTAGTAGCAGTAGCTGTAGTTTTAGTAGCACTGATCAGCATTTCCTCACCCTGCTGTCAGTGTTACACCTCACTGCAACACTTCTGTCTCAGTGCTTTTGTCCTCCCTCTTCACATAAACAAGAGGGTCACAATATTAGGAACACCACTGTATATAAGCCTGTACACCACCACCTTTAACTACGACTTCAGTAATGAACATAATTGAATTTATACATTTATGACAATTTCACATTTCGAGCTTCATAAACACAGATGTTAAGGCAGAAGTGTTGCATACAATTGTATAGGTGTCCCTAATAAAGTGGCTGGTCAGTGTACATGCACGCATACAAATGTCTTCACTGATCATATGGAATGTCTTCATCACTGATGTCAAACATTTGCTGAGGACAGAGCATCTTCTCTCTGCTCCCATCTCTGTCCATACAGCTTGTTGGTCTTTTAGCTGATTCTGTCCGTTTCTGTGTCTCAACCTTTGCCACTGCAGTTTTGATGAAAAACAGTTTGAAAAGAGTCACACACAGGAAATTCAAAAGCTTAAAAGCTGTACAGTCAGTTTTCATCCAGCCTTCACTCTTCAGAGCAGGTGATTGCTTTATTCCTTGAACACAGTTAACTGACATTCCTAACCTTCTCGCCCTTTCCTTCACCAGGTGTGTACTAGCTGTCATCATTGTAGTCAACCTCCGTGGCGCTCTACGAAAGTTCACCGACATTCCCCACATGTGGCGTGTCAATCGTGTTGATGCCTCCATCTGGCTGCTCACCATGGCAACCTCTGCATTTGTCAACACAGAGCTGGGGCTCCTCGTGGGGGTTTTGGCGTCAGCCTTCTGTGTCCTGGGCCGCACCCAGCAAGTCCACGTCCTGGAGCTGGGCCGAACTACAACCAGGGAACATTATGAGGACCTGTCGTCTTACCACGGCCTTCAAACACACCCCGGGGTGGCAGTTTATAGATATGACGCTCCAATCTATTACGCCAATCAGAGCTTGTTCAAAAAATCTCTTTACAAATGTGTAGGGCTCGACCCGGTGAAGGAGAAAACACAGCGCATCAAGTTTAACAAGAAGAGAAGACAGCAACATGGAGAGGATGCAGAAGTCCCAAATGTGATGTCTGAGGACAATGTTGTACATAAAGAGGATGACGCTGAATCAACCACAAATGTAACCTTGATGCTTGATGGGAAACCCTCTCGTAGCTTACACGGCATAGTGATCGACTGCAGCTCTATCGTATTTCTAGATACTGCTGGAGTGAATGCTCTGAAAGAGGTTCGCAAAGATTATGGAGAACTTGGGGTCAGCGTTGTCCTGGCCCAGTGTAATACCTCAGTACTGGACACTCTGGAACGAGGAGGATACCACCCTACCAAAAAAGAAAGTGATGAAGGAGAGAGCAACAGTCTGTTTTTCACCATTTCAGATGCTGTCTGCTATGTTCAAAGCTTCTCTGCTCCCAGCAGAGATTGTGATGCCAAATTCTAAAAAGATCCGTCCAAATATCTTTTTACATGCTTATATCTTATTCAGTACCAAAGTGTATAATTGTCTATGTGCCTTATAGTGCCACACTGATGGCAGCAGTTATGTAGTATAGATGCCTTCTTCAGCAGACAGTTCTTTATCTAATAATGCTTCGGCATGGCAAATATTTATGTTTTCCTTAAATGGTAAGAAACATTGTGCTCAACCAAAGGAGAGAAAAAGGTGAATAAATTAAGACTGGTTCATAAAATGAATGAGGTGGGTAAGCTTGGTTCAAGCAGACCAACACAGCACAGCTCCTCTACTTTCCACAGCCTTTGTGTATCCAAACTGAAGTGCCTATACTGTATAAATGCATAGTAATGTAAATGTCTTCATATCAGGACCTTACACATTTGCTGTTGCAGCTGGATAACTCATCTTCATGCAGAGTGCACCACGAGCTCATTCTTCTCCACAAGTTGTGGCAGCTGGTTCATAAGAACACGTTACACCGAGTGGAGCTTCTCATTTTGGAACAAATCTCCTCAGCTCTGGTTTTGAAGCTGTGGTGTGTTTTTTTTTTATTACCTGCTGTGCCGGAACTGACAATGTCACTTCAAGGCAGTACTTTTTAACGTCTGTCCTCGAGCCACGTTTCCTGAGGCTGACAACATTACTGACGTAGCTTTAGCCTCTTAAGTACACAGCCGAGCTGGCAGCTGAGTTATGACCTGGGGCAAAGTTTGAGTTAAAGGTAAACAGTGTGTGCACTGAATTCCAGGTGAGGTTTACATCAGAACAGCTTTCTTGAGTTTCCTTTGTTGAATTAAATATTGAATTAAGCTGGTTGGACATTTTCTTTATATGGAAGAGAATGTCTAATCAGACCAACCACAAGCCAGTTCATGCAAAGTGCCACAGTTTGGAATTACAGGGAGGCACCAAAGTTATTCTCAGGATGTTCAACCTCTGTCAAAGTATTTGGTCTCGAGTTCTTTCTGAAAAAAGTCTTACATCAGAACAAGCTGGTTTCATAAGATCCTGCTCACATGTTTAAAATTGCCCTCAAGAATAAATGAGATAAAATACCCAAATACAGATCCTAGCACAGCCTAAATAAAGAGGTGGGGGTGTCCCTACCAACACTGAGACCAAGGCTACCCACTTGCAAACTCCCAAACATTTCACCAGAAAAGAAAACTAAAAAAGCAATACAAAGTAGTTTTTGCATTAATCCAAAAAAAAAAGATCCACACAGAGTTTGTGTTTATTATACCTACAGTTTTTTTAAAGCCTTTCCTCTACATGTTTGGTACTACAGCTGTACGATTTACTTTCCCTTTAGACTTTAACTGTTTAACAGTATCAAGTAAAATCACAACTGGATGCTGGTTGGAGCATTCAAGGTTCACTACAGCAGTAATTATACGATGAGCAGAAACTACAGAAATATGTGTTACATAAATGTGTCTGTTCTGTTTCTTACACAGGAGTTGCTGATTTTAAATCTTTGCTGTGGAATACAATAGAAGACAATCGTATTTTCATAGCTTCCTTTCTCCAGTATTTTTGCTGATGTAACACAGCTGTGTTATGATCTTATAGCCGCTTCTCGATCCATAATACCGAGACCAAATAAAAAGGATTGTGTTTTCACCGTAGGTAAGGTCATTTAAAAGCACCATCTAGCAACAGTCCATCCATTATCTATACTGCTTATCCTAACAAGGGTCACGGGGGGGACTGGAGCCTATCCCAGCTGACATTGGGAACCTGGAGAGCACCCACGCAGGCAATCTCAGCACAGAAAGGCAACCGGTTGGCCGGGACTCAAACCCAGAACCTTCTTGTTGTCAGGTCCCAGCGCTAACCACTGTGCCACCAGCAACAATTCATCATATAGTAAAATATAGAAGATCCATTTTGTATAAGCGTCCAATCAACAAACAAATCTAATTATTTGTGCCGGCCCGTGGAACAGAGCAGAGATGCATTAAGGTGGAATTTGTCATTTGTTATGTTCAATTCCTGCTTTAAATTAAAAAGTCGCTGTTTATGATTTGCCAATAACCAAAGGGAAAACTAAAACCTTTGCAGTGTCCATGCCATTGCTTTTTCCTCAAGTAGTTTAAGCATTCATTTACTGTTGGTTCTTTTTCAGTTGCTTGTCTCAGTGTATTGAGAAAACGTTTATTTTATCAGAAATTGTTACATAAATTGGAGGTTAGATCATCTTATACATTATCTTTGTTTAATTACTGGAAGCATGAAATAGTCTCATTTCATTACGTTTTATTATGTGACCAAATTCCCAACCTGTATTTTAGTTCCTCGTTAATAAAGTGGGATGTCTCTTGGTATTTCTGCTCTTCTGTCTCCATTATCGGGATCTTTGATTAGCATGTATTTATCATTAGGCCTTTTATTCTTTCAGTTTCTGCAAACAGTTCATAATTCAGACAGTGCTCAGTCATCTACGTCTGCTAGTAGAAAGACTGAAGTTTGGTTAAAGGCTAAATGACAACATGGGAACCTGTGCTCTGATTACCAGGCCTTTTAAGAGCAGACAACAGAACAGTTCGTATTCGCGCTTCAGGTTCAAGGTAAATGATCCTGAGATATCCTGCCAAGGCAAACAAAGGGAAAAGCCCTTCATCCGTTACTGCAGATAGATTAAGTAGCCACACCTCTATGTAACAAAAAGATAGATATACAATTTGTAGCACGCTAGATCCACGAGGCTCTAATGACAAGTGACAGTTTACCTTATGAATATGAATGAATTTCTACTAGAGATTCCCTGAAACAGGGTTTTTCAAAGGGCCTGGTCTAAACTGGACGTGCGTTTGTGCGAGTATCCGTTCTGTGTGTGTCAGCCTGCATCAGACGCCTTTTACTAAGGAACAGCGGTTTAAAACGGTCTCGAGACACTAGGCTGCACTTTTAATCCTGGTATTCTTTCACCCTTACACTTAAATCAGAAAACAGTGGACCCTGGCTAACAAAAGGCATCCAAAGAGGCATCTGGCCTCTGGGGCTTTTAGTCAATAACCAGTCTGGCTCTTTGGAAACTTTTGGAGGAGATAAGAGTTTAATTATTTGAGCCTGCCTCTATCTCCTGCTCTACAACAAAGGAACAATGGTGTTATATTTTACATTTTTTTCAGCTATGTAAAGCCCTAGGCTTCTTCACTTTACACACACAAAGAAATGCTATCTAGATGAATTATTGAGTATAAAGGATAAAAGAAAAAACTACCTAAATATTGTGTTTAACATAAGATTAGTTTCTGGTTGAGCCTGGTCTTGGTATATTCTACACTGCACTCTCCAAGGCACTGACTCCATTATGCCACCAGGGGGGAGCATCGACCAAAAGACTGGAGAGAATTTGGTGGTGAGTAAAGGGAAAAGGGGGAGAAGTGTGATTTCTACTCAGATGCTGTCAGTATTAAACATTCCCTCGAGGAGAAATCCTAGCATCCAAACAGCTGTACATAAAACATTCTTGTGCACTTACGTGTTACATGAACTGTAAAAAGATGACTAAGGAACACTACAAAAGGCAGCGACAGACAGCTACAAAACTGTCCAAAGGGGTTGACAGTGAAGACAGCGTAAACCAAGTCTGAAGAGCAGAGAGCAACGTTGCTGCGGATTTGCTGGTGGATTTAGAAAAGATGTCACATGATTTATGGTTCTTGGGATAAACTAAAATACCCAAATGACCCGTTTTATTCAGAAAATCGACCCCTCTCATTCTCTCTCTATATATATTTTTTTCTTGACCCCGACTGTCCTCTGTATACATGCGCCCTATAAAGCCCAGTTGTCTGCAGAAGAGGCGAGGAACAGGTGATTACAGTCTCTTTCACAGCTTGTTGCCTCTCACAAACTACATTCATTGGGGAACGGCACATTGATTGGAAAACTCCTGTACCAGACAACGAGAGTCTGCATTTTTTATTTTTTAAGTTCCCAAGCTGACTTTTTTGATCACGACCAGACAAAGACTTGCCCCACTGATGAGATAAGAATGAGTGGTGCAGAAATTAGTGTAACGAGATATACAAAAAGGGTTTCTTCTCCTTTGTTAAACTCGAGTTAAATTACATTTTCCCTAACGTCTGCTACTACTCTTTACTGAGCGTTACAGTAGGAGGGCGTCGTTTCAGCGAGATTTTCTTTTACTTCATCCAAAACCTTATTTCCTTATTTTATTAACTACATTACCATGAGGGGTGTAACAATACAGCCAGCTCACCATTTGGTTCAATATATGATAGGGGACGTAGGGTTCGATACAGTCACGATAAAACACCGTGAACACAGTAAGAACGCAAACTAGTGTCACACATTTCTGTTTATGTATGTAAAGTCACAAAACCTGTTTTCAAACATTTAATTTCCTATTCACACACTTGACATGGGAGCCTTGACTTCATTTTGCCATATATTTTTCACAATGCAGTGTCACATTTTTGAATCGCAACAAATTGTTCCACGATGCACATACACCCCTAATTATTATTAAGCACTTGTTTTCTTGTTATATTTTTATTGTGCTTCTTTAACTTGCTGCTTTAAAGTGCCTTAGATTTGTGTTATTACTCATCTACTTTATATTTTGTGGCATTCATGTGGACGGCAAAGTAAGAATTTCATTGTACAGGGAAACACATTTCCTAACTGTGCATGACAAATAAACACTTTGACCTTTGACCTTGACCTCTGTGTCAGTATTGGCTCTAATGTAAGTGATCGTACTTGGTCTGTGACAAGTGGTACATTGGTGCATCCCTAGAAAAAAATGATTCAATAAGTCCACTGTAAAGTCAACATCACACTTTACACCAAAGTGAAGCAGTAGTCTGGCCAACTACAGGGAAACAGCCTGTCGCTTTGCTCTCTGTGTGCATTTCCAATTTGTAATTTGCTATGTGAACAAAATCTGCTTCATCTCATCACGCTGCCTTCACTTCTATGTCTGCTTTTCCATAAACAGAGACAGACCGAGAGGGACAGAGGAAGCAGGAAAGAAAAGCTCATGGATAAACCATTTGTCATCCCGTGGGATACAGTTTCAAGTTGTCAAAATCCCAGTGTTCAGGGACATTTCTCTTTTTCACTGAGGGCTCGGCATGGGAAGCCAACGGGCGTTTTTTGCTGTCAAAAACAGTTTTATCACCACTCTCTCACATCAGCTCGCCTTTCTTTAGTCCCCAGATCTAATTCTTTTGTCAAATGCCACTGACAGAAACACCGATAGTTCTCATACAATTTACTTCACATCACTAATAGTGTGATAGTAGTTTTCTGATACAGAAACACCACCATTGCTCGAGTTAAATCAGCAGCAGAAAACAAAGTGGGGTTTAGAGGTTGTCACACAACCTCAGCTATACACAAATAATTAGTATGTGGTTTGACCTGTCCACAGCAAGATGTTGGTCACAGAGGTGTAGCAGTGAGACAGTGAACACTGAAACACTTTGTTAATAATCTGGTAAATAATGTCTTGTCCTAACTGGGCTGAATCCGTTCACATGTCCCAACCCCATCAATAGCGATTCATGCAGCTAGTTGTAGTCTTATGTGCCAAGGTTTTGAAATGTCAGCCACAGTATGTGCCGTCACCGCAATACGATTTTGTCTTTTCAGAAGCAGTCCCTGTTAATAATCCACTGCCTACACTGTGAGCCACTGTCACGAGGCCGCTTCTCTGAGAGAGAGTAGTAGCTCACAGGACAGTTTGTGGATTATCCAGAGTTACAGGGACACTAACTGGAAAGACACTGATGTTGGATTTTTTTCAAAGCAGCTCAGTGCTGCGAGCTGCAATTATTCATGCTACTAATCTCACTGACATCCAGCACAAGAAAAGCAACATACTGAAGTTATATTTGCCACAGTATATACCTTCCCTAACATTAACTGAATGATCCTTCAACAACACAGCTGTAAGAGACCAAGTTTGGCTGTTGTTGAGCATCTCTCCGATTCATTTCTTTTCAGCCTAATGAGATTCACAGTGAACCGACACCATAAGCCATTCCTAATCTTTGCCTCTCCCATTATATCCGGTTTACTAGTGACAATGTAAACTACGAAGGCCTATGTGGGACAAACTGTACAAAATGCAGCCTCCAGAATGAATCTAGTATTAGATGGCTCACAGTAAATGTGCCGGTCCAGCGAACACTCTGGTTACTGCTTATGGGCCACAAAGTACTGATGTTACACAAAGCTCGACTTACTCCCAAATTAAAATCATATTAATTCAAAACAAATGTAAAATCATAACCATGTTACGGCATTCATGTTACCAAAACAATGTTTGTTTCGATGCTAACCCATCCAGAAGGAAGAACGCCACATCTGAGGAAAATCTGAGTCCTCTGGCCGCTTTGAACCCTTCTCCACCTCAAAAAGCCAAACCAATGTTAACCCTGGTTTTTGCTCTTTCTTTGTCTCACTCTCTCTGTGCAACGATTCTCCCTCCCAACAATTAACACAGCAGACCAAGAAGTGTCATTTGTGCCCAGTATTAATTCTGAGCCATGACTGGACTCACTATAGTGGTCCACAGGGAGCTGGAAGGGGTACTTTGTAGTACTGAGGCAGGCAGATGGCTCGGAGGAGCCTGAAGACAGCAACACACGCCGACTAGCTCACACCAACACACATGCACATGTAGGCAGACACATGCATAATGACCCTCTGAGCCCCCACAACAACATTAAACACCCTGCTTCATCCACAGCCTTCGAATAAACGGATCAGTGGATGAACAAGGGGCATCACACACAGTCGACCCCCAGAGGCCCTGGTCTCAGAGACAGTCACAGTGCCAGAAGGCTTGGCTCGTCATAAGGAGAGGGCTCAACTTCATTCACTACATGCATAAAACCAGCCAAGGAACATCTTGTGTTACTTCATTAAAGTAACACCGGCATGAAGTATCCATAGAGATGTGATTCATTTGTTTTTTCTTTAAAAGACAAAAAGAAAGCCAAAAGAAAGTTAAGCGATTGTGAAGACACCCACCTGCATTCTGGCTCTCTCACTGCTCTGTCATTCCCATAGTCTCAACTCTGAACCACTCTTAAATATCTATTAGTTTCATTGCCATCAGCAAATTAAAACCATGGACTTTACTTGCACAATAACTCCTAATAGGTGGACAACAGGATAATCTTTGCCTCTCAAAGCTTTGTCTCAGTCTTAGAAGTCAAATTAGTTGCAGCTGGTGACATAATAAATACACAAATTATTGCTAAGTAAGTGAAAAGGGGGGGGTCGTCAACAACATCCCATCGGCATCACAAGA